GTGTCTCTCTCTCTCTCTCTCTCTCTCTCTCTCTCTCTCTCTCTCTCTCTCTCTCTCTCTCTCTCTCTCTCTCTCTCTCTCTCTCTCTTTGGGTAAGCTGTGTGTGAAAAGCAAAGCAGCTTTATTCTTTTAGAGGTCTCGAAATGTACAAGTTTCCCCTTGTATGTTTCTATGGAACGTCCTACTTTTCCTTTTTTTCGTTGTTGTTGTTTTTTTGGTTTTGTTTTTCCATTGGTCCTGTCTCTCTGTCGTGAATTTGTCTTGCACCAGATGACTGCCCCTGTACCCATGTGCTTCCATTTACAGAGAATGACGAACATTCCCATGTCGGGATAACAACCAGAGATGCGAGTGAACCACATCCACTAATTGATTGATTGTCTCTAGTTTTTCTAAGACCTTAAAGTTTTGCATTTCGCTCTTTAATATTCCATGACGCGCTGAATACTTATCGTAAATGGCATTTCTGCAAAATAGAACATATTATGTACATCTGATCAACGACAACAGCGTGAGTTTCCAGGCACGGTACGAAAGTAAGCCTTCATCGGATCGAGAGAAAAGCTATCTCTTGATACAACAACAAAAAACGCTTCCAGTTCTGCGCCGGTTTCTCCTCTAGTCTTGCCTGGAAAAACAATAGCGTAGATTCTATCAAAACAAAACAGGAGACACGGTGCTTCGGACAACAAAGACAGGAGAATCATAAGATAGACATCGGTGTGATAGCGGGCAGATGTATTGTACACAGGCGCGATTCCCGCCGGAATGAAAGCCCCTGGGCTCAATGAAATCATCAGAGCATGACGGGGAATTAGATCCACCGAGAAAAGTGTCCACCTTGCTCGGTCATTGTCAGTAAGTACAGATCGATGAATCAATGGTTTGCTTTCTTCTGAGGAACAAAGATTGTTTCTGGGGGGGGGTGTTCTCGTCACAAAGAGCCGATACATTACCAGAGATGGTGTAGTTGATGGCTGGGAAGTAGAACGACAAGGTTTGGGGTACAGTTTGGGGGATAAAATTGCGAGGAAGGATTATCGTTGTTTGAAAGGAGGTGGAGGAGGAGGTGGAGGAGGAATG